TATTTATATCTCTATTAATGCTAGTTATAGAATATATAGGTATTATTAATCTTTCTTTATATATGTATAAAGCTAAGATATTATTATAGCTTTTGTAACTGTGTATAGGTAGCTACACAAAGTAATATATTACTATATTATTATCTTAGTTAGATTGTAGTTTCTGCTTTTATTAATATTTATCTTATAAGTAGTAGTCTAGCACTCTTATAGCTAATATTTAGGCTTATATTATAGTAGTATTTACTAATAGCTCTATATCTATTACTTACTTCTATATTCTACTCTATCTACTAGATAATCTTCTTGCAAGAACTTCTTTGCACAATAATATGCCTCTTTATATAGTCTTTGTCTTTATTACTCTTATTACTCTTGCGGTTATATTAGGTACATTTACCTACTCTATACTATACATTATTAACTACCTTAATAATATATCTAGTTTATAAATAGATACTATTATCTTACTTAGAAAGCTCTACTAGACAGACTTCTATATATTAGAGGTTAAACATTAGATTAGCTTAGCGTTTAATATTATAAGTATAGTGTATAGTTTCTAAGTTCTTTATATGTGCTAATTACCTTATATAGACTACCTTTTGTATAATTATTAGAACTATACCTTCTTATATTACTAATAGCCTTACTATTATACTTAATACTATTATAAATACTACTATAAAAGTCTATATAACCTTTGTCTATGTTCTCTACGTTGTTTATAATATCTTTAGTGCAGCTATTAGCCTCTGTTCTACTCTTTATATCTAGTGCTAAGATTCTTAGATTACTAACGTAATCTTTGCTACGTTAGTTCTTGTTATTATTATAATACTCTTGCTCTAGGTTTAGATATTATTCTATATAATTAGGTTTCTAATTACTATAGATATATAGCTTATTATAATAGTTATACGCATAACTCTAAAGTAGATAGTTATCTTAGTAGGTACTGTATGTATTACTAGAACAGCACTTTACTACTCTACGCTTTAATTAGTAGCTCTAAGTTAGTAATAGGTTATACTTAGTTGTAAAGCAGCAATAATAGAGCAATAATAGAGCGATAATAGAGCGATAATAGAGCGATAATAGAGCGATACGAGATGTAAGATATAAGATGCGATGCAGGTAGTCTGTATTAGAAAAACGCTTAGAGAATTAATTATTACTTTTAGTTAAGGTATAATATAGCTAAGGCTGCATTTAATACGTAATTTAAATATATTAAGTATATGTTGCAAGCAACAGTATATATATTTTATTAGCAAACTAATTCTACAGCGTAAACTAGTCTAAAAAGAGTAAGGTCTATTACTAGTATATAAAAAGACGTATTTCTAAAAAAGTTAAAATCCTACGTTTAGAGGTATAGGCGTTAGGTAAACTAAGGCTTAGATTCTTAGCGCTACTGCCTTTAGCGTAGTTAAAGCTTTTAAAATTTAGAGTAGTAAGGCAACTATTCTATAAATACTAATATCTACCTACACTATAGCAGAAAGAATTATAATATAATTATATATTCTTAATAGCTTATAACTAACTAAGCTATAGATTATAAAGTAATAAAATACTAAAATCTTAGCTTACAAAATTGTGCTTCTATATATATACTCTCTATTCTCTACCTCTATTTTTATTTTATAGCTTATAGTAAAATTAGAGATCTAAAGACTTATTAAAGACATAAATAGTAGCTTAAATCTAATACTAAAAGCTATACTAGCACACTAAATAAGCTCTTAACTACGTTACTACTCTTTTATAAGTTTTTCTAGCGTTAGTAAGTCTAAAGCTAATCTTATTACTAGTTATATTGTCTTTCTTTATACCTATATTAATTATATTCTTATACTATATTGCTTATTAAAGCTTTTATAGACTACTCTAAGACTACTACTAAAAAAAAAGCTCTTAGTTAGACTATTCTAGTAATTATTATATAGACTATTATTAAGGCTATTATAGAGGCTATTATTAAAGCTCTTAAGACCTACTTTACTTATCTTATATTACGTTCTAAGACTACTAAGACTATTACTACTATTAATACTATTAATACTATTAAGATTATTATACTACTACTATAAAGGCTTTTAATATATAAACTAAGACCTTCTATAGTTCTCTATTATAGCTAAGCTTTTAAGTAACTTACTAGTAATATATAAGAGTTTTTTTACAGGCTATGCTTACTCTAAAGAAAGTAATAGAATAGTTATTATATTACTAGTATTACTCTTCTTACTTAGAGTAATTTATTAATTATCTATGCTATCTATACTTATAACTTTATATATAAGCTTAGGCTATAGACAGCTCTACTTATAAAGATAAAGGTAGCTATTATATACTAGCGTAAGGCGTTTATTAAAATTCTTAGCTAGAGTAGTAATAAATAAACTAAAGAGAATAAAGTATTTAAGGCCTACCTCTAGTATAATAATACTATTAAATAAATAGCAGCTATATTAGCGTTCTACTATTATAGTCGCCTTTAAGAACTAAGCTATAATAAAGTAGTTATCTTTGTTAGCTTAAGTTATATTATGTTAATAGCTAAAGATTAAATATAGTAAGGCGTTAAAAAGTTTCTCTTCTTAGTAAGGCCTTAAAAGTAATATATTATTAGTCTATATAGAAGCCTTAGTGCTAATAGCAATATACACTAAATATATTAAAATTTTAAAATCTCCTAGCAGTCCTAGGACGAAAGCTAGGCGTCTTTTAACGTCTTTTCACTAAACGGAGTCTGCAAAATCGGGCATAAGGCACCGACAGTATATATATATAGAGATAAGTATAAGGTACAGGGCCCCTGTAGCCTGCTCGCGAATAGGTAGGTTAAATAATGTAGGGCTCAGCGCGCTGAGCCCCTGGCGCCGCATTTAACACGTAAAAACATTCACTTCGCATACCAATCTATGGATACAGTCATCGATTGAAATTCTAGGATCAAGATTGCAATGGAAGAAAGCCGCTCATATGATTCATCTTCATTGCTCACGCGTTGCTATTACTTTGCGCGGACCGACCCATCCATCTCGACGAATAGTCAGACATCCAAGTCCAGCACCACTACTGCGAAATGTCCTCAATCTTGATTTCGCCTGTACCGTTCAAGAAGTCCATCTTGCCAACATCAACGCCCTTCATTCTCAGTATGTCATACGCAGTCACGATGTGGAACCTAAGATCATCAGCAAAACTTCTTTACAAGCCTGAACCCTCAAGCGTATCTTCACTTACCACATGTTCGGATGCGCAAACCTGGTGACATAATCCAGCGCCGGCAGCCTCATCTGCTTGACACCGCCAAATTTGACGACGACCTCGTCATCATGCTTACCCTCGAAGTCCTTCTCCGAGAAGCCCTCAAGATACCTGATAGTCTTCTCGACGCGAGCCAGTAACTCTGGGAAGGTCTGCTCTTCGTCGGGTAGAGTTATGCCTTCCAAGGCGGGGTTCACGCGAGAAGGAATGAACTTGGCGGCGTCGGTGAAACGGTAGACCTGGTAGCGGAAGTCCTTCATATCCGGGTGGATAGACGCAGTGAGGAAGTCATTGGGGTCGGTGGCTTTGGCGTGCTCGTAGCCTTTGTTGATGAAGAAGTGTGCGTTCTTGAGGCCGGCGATGACAGGAGCGATGGCGACCTTGTGGAATGAGAGGGCCATGTTGGGTGGTGGTTTGAGGCTTGAAGAGCGTATTGAAAGGGTGAGGATAGTGGCAGTTTGAGTTCTTGTTGATGAAGTTGATTGATACTAGTAGTTGCCCTGGCGGGGTAGTCGACTATTTATGCTCCACTTCTTTCCATCTCGCACCTTCTCTCAGCCCTGGAGTACTTCGTACATCAAGCTCACTACGCTCCACTTGGCATCAGCACTCCACCGTTCAGCTCGAAGCGGACCAGTCTTACTCGAGTGGTTACACGACTGGCGGTGATTACGGCCTGGATTACAAAGCGGGTGGGTTGCAATCTGGTGAGCCTTGGTGTTTGACCAATCAGATCGTGACGCGATTGACCGGACCCACTTTCGCACCGTCGGCGCGAGGCAGCGACAGGAGAGATACGCGACTGCGGTGAGACTACACACGACGCAGGGCCAATATGTTCAATTTGCGCCCTTTTTTCATTGGGCCATTGCCCTGGTCCAGATATATGAGTGTGCTGACAAAAGTCGCAGAGTTCCGCGCGGTTTAGGCCTTTGGGTGCCTGATACCGATCAAACCTCAACTTCTCTGCGCGAGGAAAGTGCGCCTCGCTTTCCTTCTGCGACGAACATACGGACGAACACTCGTGCGATTTCTTCGCGAAACTCTAAACGCACGTGTCTTGGTGCAGCACGTCCTCGACATACAGGTCAGCTTGAGCAGTCGTCACTACCGATATGGAATGGGGATCGCGCGTGCCGGTAAGCAGGCAGCGATGAGATAGGGCGTCAAGAAGACCTTCCTTGCAGTACACGTGGAAAACCGTTTGGCCTTACTCTGATCAGATTAATTGCTAAGCCAGCATTGGATCGAGCCTGACGAGTGCCAACGATAAAGTCGGTGATCTTGTTCCAAGCAGTCCGCCGGTGGAACGGATTCCTCTAATCTTGAGCCATATGCAGGTGCCAGTTGGTTCCCATCAACCCTACATCGTACAGTCACTACTTCGAATTGTGCTCTGCGTAATGATGGCCGCTTGCTCAAAGTGAAAACTATTCAAGCAAGTAGGGCCCATGAATAGTCGAAAGTTTTGCGATTGACATGCGCAAATTGCTTGCTCTAAGACAAGTAGGTCTTGGGTTTTCTACCTACTAAACATGTCACACGATTGTGTCCCGCTTGCTTAGCAGTTTGGGTCAATCGGTACCGAAATATAATGATGCTATGATGGCACTGAACAGAATCCACCACATCCAGATCTTTACCTTCACTGGCATTAGTTTATCTTCACATCAAGCTCGTTTCTTGATTCTCATTGCACACAACGCCCCAGTCCGATCGATATGCCACCCAAGAAATGCGGCAGCAAAGCCCCAGCAGGCAAACAGCTTAACGACGTGACGAAGTCTGAGTTGCTTGACGAGATTAGAGCACCCAAGTTCACCGGAAGCAAATGCATGAGGTGCGACGAGTTCGACCATGGTCATATCAACGAATGCAACGCCAACGCCAATTCCAAGCACTGGTCAAAGGGTCTTGGTAATTTCGCGGACAAGCAGGCTGTCGAGAAGTTGTTCCAGGCCGAACGTGCGAAGGTCATTGCGGACGGAACATACACTCCTGTCAAGCAAGTAAGCAAGCCTGTAGCGCAGGATCAACCCAAATCCGACAACAAGATAAGGAACAAACCTCAGAATGTTGTGTCTACTATTCCAGAAGACCCCGCATCCAGCAGCGCCCTGGACGAAAAGCCCGCGACACCCGTCAAGAAGAGGACGCCTATCGAGACTGAAAATGTTGGGAAGGTTATCTACACGAAGGACGAGACAAAAGCCGAGAATGTCCAGGGTGATATACCCAAAGATGGCCTAGCAAACGTCGCAACACAGCACAAAGGTTCAGAGCCATCGAAAGGCGAGTTCAAAGTGATCACAAATTATGTGCAAGTGCGCAAGGTACCTTCTCAACTCCTCACATATGCTTTGACCTTCTATAGACCAAGTCGCGACCCACAGAGGCCCAACGCCCGCGTAGAGCTCAACAAGCGACAAGAAATTGGACGCGTATTCGATGCGATGATCGAGAAAGATGTGCTGGAACTGGACCGGAACCGGAAGACATGGGCAACCGACTACAAGAGTCTTTGGTGCGACACTGCTCTCCAGGGTCCTCACGGAGATCAGGAAGAGTGGGATACGGCGAAGTTTGACTGCAAACTCCTTGATGGTCGAATATATGACGACGTATACGCAACTGTGAGGAAAGGTGTAGTCTTGAGCGATATCGACGACGTCCTTCGTAAGGAACACATCACCAAAAGCGCCGACTACATTCGGGCTCTGAATGCTCATGTTGCGGAATGTGTCCGCAAGTACAACGAAGAGAAGGACCAATCGATCACCCAGCTTGGCGCGAACAAGTTCTACCTTGATCGAGGTTTTACTGAAATGGTCGATAAGAACTCCAACAGCTTGGGCTTGCGCGCAGTTCGCGGTTACTACATGTCAATAAGGCCTGGAGCGCTAGGTCCTCTGCTCAACATCAATGCAGCGACAACGGCCTTTTTACCTCCAATACTGGTATCGGACTTGTTGGCTACATCGCTCACTCAAAATGCTATCGAGAAGATGTTGAGGGGCAAGCGCGTTAGGCTCATTTATCAACGACAAGAGTTCCAAGAGACCAAGGACGCTGGATTCTCCATGAACGACGAACTCCCGCGCACGAAAGTCTTTCAACAATTTGGTTTACCTGCGAGCAAGCAGAGGTTCTTCACAGTTCTTGCTAACGACAAAGGCGCCAAGGTTGACGTCAGCCCGACGGATCATGGTACCACCGTCATCCAATACTTCAACAGTGAGATAATCCCAGACTCTCCATGTTATGCCATGCTAACAGCTGTAGACATGAAAGCAGAAATGCCAAGTAGCCCGTCACCTTCCCACCTTCTATGCGTCAATGTCGGCAAGCGCGTTCAATCATCTAGATCAAAAGATGCAGGCAAACCAGCATTTATGCGTCAGCAGACGTTAGACGGCGCTCAGTGGATCCCCGCTTGTTTACTCGAGATCCTGCCTTTTCAACCAATGACAGGGCAAATGAGCCCGAAGCATACTGCCGAGATGATGAGGCATGCCTTACACTTGCCCGCGGAGAACGCAGCCTTGATTGATCAAGAGGGCCTGCGAATCCTTGGTCTCAAAGATCAGATCGAGGATCAAGAAGACACGACTAGCAAGAAGTATCTCGTAAGTTCCAATGGCGCAGATGCTTTTGATCGTTGACTTACAGATCGCCAGGACCAAGGCTTTCAGCTCGACAACAAACTGATATCATTGGCCGCCAGGTCTTTGGAACTTCCCCGTCTGTTGTACGAGAAGCGCGGTGACCCCAAAGTCGAACACACCGTCAGTACACAGCCTCATACAAAATTCCAGCCGCTTATCAAAGTTGACCGGTCAGCTTGGAATCTTCAGGATGCAGCATTCATCAAGCCCGGAACGCTGAACAAACTTCACGTCGTCGGGCTGCCGAAATGTCGTCAAGAACTCAAGTTGGCTATTGTCAAGAAGGATTTCACTGAGCAGTTGTGTACTCACCATGTTCACACCACGCCTGGAGACCATGCTGAACAGTTGGGGGAATTTAAAGGAATCGAAGAAGATCTCAAATCCTGGTTCACCATGTGCCAGCGGAATGACTGCAACCTTCTCTTGTTGGCCGAGAAAGACTTCGACAAATACGCAAAGATCAAGCGGACCAGCGATTTCGAAGGGTACCACACCATCTGCGCTATCGGCAGCAAAATCCAAGATGACAGGAACAATGATCATAACAAGACCGGCAATCGTTGGCAGCATCTCTCCAACCTAGCCCTCAAAGTCAATTTGAAGTTGGGTGGGGACAATCACTGGCTTGACAACGAGATGTTGGATAAGCTACTAGGTGGAGAGGAGTCCAGACGAAGCACCATGATCTTAGGATCAGATGTCACCCACCCCGGCAACGGCTCGAAGACTGGTACGCCCAGCATCGCCGCCGTTGTTGGTACCGTTGATGCTCAATTCATGAGCTATCGCGGTTCGATGAGACTTCAAGCTGGTGGCCAAGAACAGATCGATGAGGCGAATCTCCGCAGTATGGTCAAAGAACGGCTTGAGACTTGGAAGTCGTGTAACGATGACAAGCTTCCGACCAGGATCTTGTTCTATCGCGACGGTGTCTCTGAGTCGCAGTTTGCCAACGTGGAGAAGTCCGAGATCCCGCAGATCAGAGAGGCGTATGTTGAGGCTGGAGGCAATGCCAAAGACCTCAGTGTATGCTTCTTCGTTGTCAGTAAACGTCACCATACACGATTCTACGCTGCCACTAAGAACGAAACATACCAGTCTCGAGAGAAGACCCAGGGCGTGTTCCGACACTTTCAAAACGGCAACATCAAAGCTGGCTTACTTGTAGACAGTGTGGTCACGGCGCCTTATCCCCTGAACTTCTTCTTGCAATCTCACACTGCGATCAAAGGCACCGCACGTTCAGCCCACTACTACGTACTCCAGAACGACACCGACATCGGGGCCGCGAACCTGCAGGAGTTGACCATGATGCTATGCTACACCTTTGGGCGATCGACGACCGGTGTCTCGTACGCAACCCCGGCATACGCCGCGGATAGGTTATGCGACCGCGGCAGATCTTACATTCGTCACTGGGCAGAGGATGAATTTGCCCATCCTATCTTTGAGTACGACACGTACTATGACGGAGACGGAAAAGAGCGCAAGCCCACCAACGTCGAGATCTTATCCGAGAAACGAGTGATGGTTGACAAGCTCTTGCACTCTCCCGAGGTCTGGGGCAAGAACTACCACGACGACCCAACTGACAACAGTAAACCGCTCAGGCTGAACCCGTGGCACCCAAACCTTGACCAGGGTATGTTCTGGATGTAAGAGGAGATTCGGATTGCGCGGCAAGAGGCTATCCGACTATGAATTCCCGATGGGTATGGTGTCTTTCTTTTCTTCGCTTGTATCCTTTGTAGCCGTATGAGTGAGTCTTTCTGGGTTTCCTGTTGCTCTGGTGGTTCATTCCCTATGTTTCGGTGCGTTGCATCTTGTATTTCCGTCCTTTGGTGCTCCTTGTCATCTTCCCGTTGTCGCGTGCTCTTTTTGCTTTACTTAGACTTCGATTCGTACTCTCATTCAATAGACTTGTCAATTCGCTCAAGTATCGTCAAACTTGCGTACTCTGCAGATTCAGGCGCCTCGAGGATCTTGTATCATGTCGCGACGCGACAGCATCGTCGCGATGATGAAAAGTCGGAAGGCTCGCGCGTTGGCTCATCCCACGTTCGCACGAACGGGAAGTTGACGCGTCGTCCCGAGATCGGCAAGCCATAGCTCCCACGCTACATCGTCGCCGTCATCATCAACCTTATAGCCGAATTAGAGATAGGTTTGCCGAAGCAATGAACAAGATGGCTGATCCCTGGTTTCCTTCAATATCCGACGATTTTGTCGTCCTCCCTGAAGACCCATATACACTCGCATCGCATCACGTCCCGTCGCATCGTGCTGCCCTGCCACACCGACCAAAATGACGGACACGAAGACTCCCCACGATCTGAACTGCCTCACCATCGGCGAACTCGAGAAGCTTGCCGCAGAGCGCATGGACAAGCAGACACGCGACTACTACAATGAGGGTGCAGACTCTGGATCGACGCTCCGCGAGAACATTGACGCATACCAGAAGTACCGCATCCGCCCACGCGTGCTTCGCGACATCTCCTCCATCGACACGACCGTAAATGTCTTCGGACACAAGAACAGCATACCCCTCGGTGTCGCACCAACTGCTATGCAATGTCTCGCACACGACGACGGTGAACTGGCGACCGCACGCGCATGCGCCAACAAGGATATCGTAATGGGCCTGAGCAGCTTCAGCACAACCAGCCTCGAAGACGTGAAAGGCGCATTGGGCAACCACCCAGGAGCCCTACAACTCTACCTCTTCGAAGAGCGCACGCAAAGCCAGAAGCTCATCCAACGCGCCAAGAAAGCCGGCTACAAAGCTGTCATGCTCACGGTCGATACTCCAGTCCTCGGACGCCGGAACTTAGAGATAAGAAACCAGTTCAAGCTGCCGAAACACCTCAAAGTAGCAAACTTCAACCGCGATGAGAAGCACGACGAGGGTGTGAAGGTCGAAGAGAAAATCACCTCACCATCCACGGAAGCGAACGAATCGCGCAAACGAAGCGAGATCCCCAGTGCCACCGACAGCAACAAGAGACAGCCGCCAAAAGGTCCAATAAGCTTCCACACCCACGCACCCAACCCAACACTCTGCTGGGAACGCGACATAGCCTGGCTGAAAGAACAATGTTACCCCGAGATGGAAGTCTGGGTGAAAGGCGTCGCGACAGGCGAAGATGCACTACTAGCCTGCCATCATGGCGTCAACGGTATCGTTGTGTCGAATCACGGTGGGCGACAACTTAATGGCGCATTGGCTACCATCGATGCGTTGCCTGAAGTCGTTGCTGCTGTGCATTCACAGGCCGGGAAGAAAATTCCTGTACACGTTGACGGAGGAATCAGACACGGAACGGACGTATTCAAAGCACTCGCGCTGGGTGCGGACTTCGTCTGGGTTGGCAGGCCGATACTTTGGGGATTGGCATACAAAGGGCAAGAAGGTGTTGAACTGGCGCTGAGGTTGCTGAGTGATGAATTCAAGTTGTGCATGGGACTTGCGGGTGTGACAAAGGTTGAGGACATTGGACCAGAGTACCTGGTCAAGATGGATCGAAGTGGATTTGTGAGTCGTCTTTAGAGACTGTGAGCATACCTTGCTAGGTAGCTCTGGATCTACATACTATTGATACGACTTTTGTACATACAAACGGGCTCGGATATGTTACGATACCTACGCCGCCTGTCTCCTACTCTCGATGAAGTCCACGTAGTCGAAGAAACTCTTCTTGTACCTTCGCACTTGCGTCGTGCGGTTCACAGTCTGGATACCAAACTGCTGGTCGTAGTCACCAAACTCCCAGTTGTCGGCCCACGACCAAGCAAACGCGCCAATAAAATTAACACCGTCTTCCCAGATCGCCTTCAGGCCTTCATTCAGATACGTTTGGTAGTACCAGCTCCTTGGGCTGTCGAACTCCTGGTCTGCTTGCTCTTTTTGCGCCTCGGCGAAAACAGGGAAGCCGAATTCAGTGACGGCCACCGGAGAACGCCATGTGTTCCAGAGATAATTCAGGTAGGTGCGGAAATAGCTGGGTGTCAGATAGACATATGATTGACTGCGGTATCCGATGTCCCAGCCAGTGGTGGTGAGAGTGCTCTGAGTTACGCAGTAAGGTCGGAGGGGATGAGTGATGTTGGCAGCGCAGTCAGCGATGGTGTCATTCGGTGGTGGACTGACTACTGTGGCAGTGTACGGTTGGATCGAGAAGAAGTCTGCAGTGCCGTTGACGTATTGTAGATCTTCTTGGCTCAACGGTACGTAGTCGTCAACACTACTCTTGAATGATTCCGGGTAGTCTGTTCCGAGGAAGATAGGGTTGGCAAAGGTAGCTAGCTGGAAGGAGTTGAAGTGATTGGCAGCGTCGACGTCAGCGGGGTCATCTGGATTGCGTGGGACGCCAAAGTTGTCGTTGAATGTAAGCGACATCTTTCCAGTTCCACCAATATCATCGTGGTAGAAGTGGTGGAGTCTTGCATGAGCTTTGATAACAGCATCAATAGACTTTCCGTTCCGCGCACCCAGGAGGGGCTCGTTGAAGGTCCACCAGATTGGCACACGGTCAGCAAAATGTGTCATGACAATCTTTCCGTATTCGACGAAAGCATCCTCCCACGACACATTCTTGTAGCTGCATTGGAAACAAGAGTCCAGATAGCCAATACCTCCAGTTCCGGGCTTGATAAAGACATCGCTGATGTTGTTGTAATATTGGAAAGGAGAGTCGTTGTGGTAAAGCATGACAGCGGGATGCATGCCTTTTTCCAAGACGAAGTTGATAAGATCGTCGTAGTGCGAGAGACCTTGCTTGTTGACTGGTGTGCCTGGTAAGATGAACGGCAGAATTCGAGTCCAAGGAATGGAGAATCTGTAATACTTGATGCCCATGGCAGCAATTCGTTCGATGTCTTGCTTGTACAAGTAGTAGTGTTCGTTCGCGATCCAGTTCGGCGCTTGGCCCGGGTTGTTCAAGGCAGCAACGTCGTTGTGAACGGGTGTCCGTCCCTCATCTGCGACGGCTCCCTCGATTTGGACAGCTGATGCCGCCACGCCAAGCATGAAGTCTGCAGGGAAGGAGTAGCATTGCTGGGGTACCAGTGGCTCAGGTGGTGGCAGAATGAGCTCGCTGGTCGGTACTGGCGTCGGTTCAACTGTTGTAGAGTACATCCCGGTCGTGAAGTTGACCCATGGCACGGTCGTCCAGAGAGCTGTCCAGGATGCGTTTCCGTATGGATTCCCCAGGTCGGTCGGTGATGCGGTGACATTTGAGTTCCAGTTGCCCCATTGTGTTGTCGTCAGATTTGGCACCAAGCTACTGAGCGACGCGTACGGTGGTGCATAGGTAGTAGTGGTAGTGGGAGCTGGGGCAGATGTTGCTGTACGAACAGTCTCGGTCTGTGTGAAGCTGAACTCTCTGAAGGTGTACGAGGGCAGTGCAGTCGCATATGTTTGATTTGCCGAGCATTGCGGTCGCGAGACAGGTCCTTCAGCAGGGACGTAGACTTGCTGAGCGAGAGCCACAGCGCCACACGCAAGAAGTGCTTGAGGCTTCATGATGATGGCCAAGGAGCGCTTGATACATCTTGGTATTCCCTGCGGAGCTCTTTATACCTCTGTGGCTTTTCAATCGGACCGTGGGGCTGATTCTGACGGTGGTACTCATCGTCATCGGCATGTACAATCGCTTGTCGCTTCGCAAAACCTCGCAGCCCTAGTCCCGTCGTGAATTAATACGAAGGGCGTGGTGCGGCCTTGATCCCTTTCCGGGGTTTGGCGGATTGAATTCCTCGGTCGAGTTCGGTCGGGCCCAATTTCGGTAGTGCCTGGGTGCTTTGCGGGGGCTTGCGGGGTCGAGCTTGTTGTGATGACGAGCGGGATGCAACGTCTAAGCTCCAACGTTGCTTTTCATGTCATGAATTGACCAGGCTTATGGTCCTAGCAAGTCTCGGGGTTTCTGAGTGGTCGTTCACGTTGTTGCTTCGCCGGCCTTACGCGAACAAGATTAGCATGTTCTCCGCAGAACATACTTCCAGGGTTTAGATGTTCCCTGTTTGTGCCGGCAGGTCAACGCGTGTTCAACCCTCGGTCTATCATTGCGCGACACCGCCAACTGACAACCGAAACTTCGCGGATGGATGATCGGATGAATCGAGTGCCCATAGCAATGTTTTCTCAGTCTCCGCCAACAGACTTGCTGCCAAGACAAGGGACGAAACGTCTGAGTCAGGTGCATCGGACTAGCTATCACATTCGCTCATGCAGCATCCTGCTCCTGCGATATGTCTTTACCAAACAGCTTGACTTTGAGCTGCTCAATCCGCGTAACATCTCGGTATCAAGATGGGCTCATGTCAAGGACGTGTCGCGCTTTCGACTTCATTTGACCACCCACCTTCAGAACCGAGTTCTTGAGAGATCAAAGAAGAGGGTCTAAAGTTGTGGACTACAGGTGAACTTGGAGACCTGAGGTAGGTTTCTGTTTAATGCATGCATCTGTTCCAACTTTGACCTGTGATGGACTTTTTTCGGTTGTCTGGTCGCCTCGATCCTGACAAGAAAGTGCAGCTCGCGCTGTCAGGATGTCGCGCTGGCCCATTGACTGAGGAGATTCTCGATGAATGGTAGATTTCCATATTTCTTGTTTCGAACGGGCATATGTTGGCACCAGTCAAAGCACAGTCTGAGTGTTTGCAGCTCCTTTCGCTTCAAAGCATGGCGGATTTCGTGGTTTTTGAACAGGTCATGCTCGCAGCCACGACAGGTCCACGAACGGAAGGGAACACGTAGAGATCATGGTTCGTAAAGACACTGAAATATGATAGCGCAAGCGTATAGTTGGAGGTATGGGCATCCCCAAATGTAGTGTGAGCAGTCTTGGTGTTGGTGTTGGTGTTGGTCTCGAGAAGCAAAAGATGACGCTAGCGGGGTCCGTGCGCCCACACGAATTTCGTCGTTGCCAACCCACTTGCCGAACTTCACGACGCTCACGACAACTCCAGCGACGACGCACCCGAAACCCGCCCAAATCGAATATCCCCCCGATAATCTACCAAAATGTCTGGAAAGCGCGGGTACGTAGTCCTCAGCCACAAAATGGGCAGCTTGAGGCTGTCATGCAGAGGAATGCTGGCTAACGAGTGTGCAGTCGAGGTTCTACCTCCGGTAACAAGCTCAAGATGACTCTTGGTCTGCCAGTGTACGTTTGACCCCGATGCGATCGCTCCGCCGAAAACCTTTCCGTTCGCGAACACGCATACAAGGCACACAGGGAATGCAGGCTAATAGATGCACAGCGGCGCCGTCATGAACTGCTGCGACAACTCCGGTGCCCGCAACCTGTACATCATCTCCGTCAAGGGTATCGGTGCGCGTCTCAACCGCCTGCCCGCTGGTGGTGCCGGTGATATGGTCATGGCGACCGTCAAGAAGGGAAAGCCCGAGCTGAGGAAGAAGGTCATGCCCGCCGTCATTGTCCGCCAGAGCAAGCCATGGAGGCGAGCAGACGGTATCTACCTGTACTTCGAGGACAACGCCGGTGTCATTGTCAACCCCAAGGGTGAAATGAAGGGCTCCGCCATCACTGGACCCGTCGCAAAGGAGGCCGCTGAGCTGTGGCCGGTACGTGTGCACCCGCCACCAACAGAATCAACACTAACAACATCCAGCGTATCGCCTCCAACTCCGGTGTCGTCATGTGAGGTGTCTCTTTTCCTGCTTTCGATCACATTCATGGGTTTACGGGCACGGCGAAAATGCATTTACGGGGTGAAGGATTTGGGAGACGACATTGCAACCACGATTAGCAATGGGACGACCTTCACAATACCAGTCAAATGAACATTACGACCAAAACCACACTTTTGTTCCTTATTGCAGTGACGGATGAGTGACATGGCGGCAGTGCGCCAACAGGATCAACAGCACAAGGAGCGCATTGAGGAAACGTTTTGCGATGGTCGGACTCTATTGATAGATCTGACTTGAAGACAGGAAGTACGTACTAAACACACGCACATCTAGACCCTAGGCTCATCGGCTGAGCACGAACTCCTATCGCACGCAAGCATCTGAAAGTCCGCCTCCTCGACAACGTCCTGCGCCCATCGCATCTGTATCATACTTCTCGCCCCAACCTCACGCTTCCTCTGCCCACCCACGAACTTCAAGTTCTCGTTTCCAACAACACCCGTCGTGACAACACCAGTGCTCGGCGCACCGATTCCTTGCACCTGGCCATTGCCGCCCTGCATGACGTTCGCATAGCTCGACGACATGGTCTGTACTCCAGACACGAAGTCCTGGCCGTCGAATTCGCAATGTCCTCCCGCAGGTGTGTTGTCCACTGTCTGCAATGTGTTGACCTGATCCGCGCTCAAACCTGCATCAGCACCGAGTTGCTCATAGGCTGCAACAGCCTGTGGAATGCTACCCTGAAGCAACTGGAGCTCACTCTGTGTAGATTGGAAGTGGATCCTTGTCTGAGACATGACTGTGGCCGCGTTCTGGAAAGCGACTTGTGGCGGCATGCCACCGCAGTTAAGCTCGACAGCCGAGTTGGCGTAGTTTTGCATCTGTGCTGGGATGAAAAAGCCGGACATCATCAGCGATCCGCCCGAGACACCTGTGAAGACGATGTTGGACATGTTGACTGCAACCCGTTGCGGCAATTCGGTTTGGATGAAGTCGTTGACGGCCTGAGCGTGTGCTACGCCATCTGTACGTTGAAGACCCGAGCCTCCTCCCCAGAACAGATTCTTGTCGGGCGCCAGGAGCGCAACACCCATGGTGTTGGCCTGAACAGCTTGGTTTGGCATGTCGAAGAAGCTCTGTCCACCGTCACCGTGGAGCAACACGTTCGCACCCAGGGTGCCGTTCGCCGATGTAGCTGCCGCACCAGGAACGCCCGAAGCTGGAAGGAATTGATCTGCCGGTGCGGAGATCTTGAATCGGATAGGCAGGTTGTTGACCATGACCGTGTCATCCAGGATCATAGAGCCATCTGTGGCTGTAGAGATCCCCTGGGGCACCTGAGCTGCTTTTTGAAAGGCCGTCGCTTGTTGTGCGTTGCCGTTACCGCCGCGGTTGCGTTGTGGCAGCGCCGAAGTGAGAGAAAGCAGCGAGAGAGTGATGAGTCCATACATGATCGCGACAACGAAGAGCTCAATAGATGTAATAGAAATTAGGTTATTGAAAGGATGGACCGGCCAGGAAGAAGAATCGAAAGAAGGGTAGCAGACAAGAGATACCGCACGGCAGTATAGCGGGAAGAGAAGAAAAGAAAGAAGTGTGGGGGATTCCCATACATCTATACTGCATGAACTGCATGCTACAAATCACGAAAAGGCCTCGAGCCTGCGAAACACAGTTTCTTTCACTCCTAAACGCGTACGGGTATAGCCAAGCCTACAGGTCAGAGCTTCGCCTTGACTCCCTTGAGCTTGACTTGACTGATTTCCACCACTCAGCGGTGTGGTCTGGACGAAACTTATGGAAGCTGTGTTTGATGCGCGGATCTTGCAGCAGCTGTGGTTTGAGCTTGGAGGCCTTGGTGTTTCGGGCCGGGGCTTGGCGTACGATTGCAGGTAGCGAGGGTTTACAGAGCTACTTGGAGCGCGCCGAGCGTACGAGAACTGCTATTCATAATTGCATCTAGCTTTAGGCATTGTTGGAGATGTTGCGATGTTGACCGGCGTAAGCGGCAAAAGGAGCATCTCGGTATGGAGGGTCCGTGCACCGCACTGAGGCCGCCATGATCTGCAGGCATGATTCTCCCGCCGTCAGTTACACTTTCGCGTACTTGAACTGCTTCCTTCTAATAAGTTCTTATGATCACTGGATCTATCTCCCGCATGTGAAAAAAGGATACAGACATTTTGTCTCTGTAGTAGTCTTTAGGCCCAAATTGTGAAAAGCCTGGGTACGAACAAACATCAGGACTTCATGTTCCTCACAATCGACGCGCTGTTATGTGAGCAAAAACAATTGACCTCATAACTTCATCCAATACTAAGAGAGGCAAAAAGGAGATCACTGGATGCCACCTGGCCGAATCGCTATAATATTGTTAGTAGTGGAATTTGAACCGAGCGCGGTTCAACTTACAACGACCGATCTTCGCATATCGTAGAATTACAAGTGCGACGCTTTACCACTTAGCCAAGGAGGCAATTGTTGATGACTAATAAAAATTAAATGGTACATATCGACACGTCAAATGTGGGCAAGAGTACGTTGACGTTGTAAGCGAGGTTGTGGGGCGGCAGCGAGAATGACTACGAGTGGAGTTGAGGACTATTCGACTGGAACAGTTAGGGCCACAGAGAGAGAAAGCAATGCAAGTAATGTGTGACCTTAACATTGATATCTGATGGATAATCTCTCAAACAAAACCGCTATGCAAAATGCCTAAAAGTTCATGATAAAAAAAAGGGTAGCTGTGATGCTAGGTGTAGCTTCCCAATCGTTCCTCCAAACGCCACGCTTATGCTCATACAAATGCCTCGCTTCATAAATCGTCAATCTCGAGAATAGCAGGGGGGAATCTAGGCAAGGCCGAAAACACCCCTCAACCGCCTCCAGAGCTCCTTGCCCATGGCCTTTCGGGTATCCTCAGTACGGAGCGCAGCCTCCTTGTTCTCACTCGCCCTCCTGAGCAGGAAGTTGAGACATTCGGTTGTAGTACCCCAAGTCATGCACTTGACGACCTTGGCCTGAGTGTCCGCCTTCATAGTCTCGTCCTGGACCAGAGCCTGAGAGATCTCGTCGGCCATACCCTGGAGTTGGGCATAGGTGAGACGAGGCAGGTTCTCTGGGGAGGTAGAGAGCATTTGCTGGGCGCGGATCTTCTGGGCGGCTTGGACGGAGGCGAGGTTGTGGGTTGCGAGGACAATGTTGACCTTGGGGAAGGGAGTGCCTGGTGTAGGAGCGGGAACCTTGTCGGTCCATTGCTGGCGGACGACGGCATCAGCGAGGGCATCGTAGTTGGCGTCAGTTCCGGCTTTGGTGTCAAAGGTGAGGTGCTTGGGCTCAGAGGTGAGGTAGGCGCCGCGTACAAGCTTGACACCGGCGATGTAGCCTTTCTTTGAGGCGCGCTCAAGGTGCTCGGCCAGGCGCTTCGAGATGTCGCGCAGGTAGCATTGGTATGTGATGTAGAGAACTGCACGACCGTTCTCGGGCTTGTTGTACTTCTCCTGCAGGGCTAGTGTCCACTTCTCGAGTCCACGGTTGGTTGCCTCTTCTTCGGCACCGGGGAGGAGGCTGACACCCTTTGCGGCGGCGGCATCGCAAGCTGCTGTGATGGCATCCCACATCTCAGGGGTGGCATCTTGCTGGTTCTGGAGGAGGTTGAGGGCATGGCGACCGAGACCGGACCATCTATGCATTGGTTAGTATATGCTTCTGTCCAAGCCATCGAGGCAAGACTTACTTCAGTCCAACAAAGTCACCCTCCTTCGCCATATCGACGCTCTGCAACATTCCCTTCCTCCACACCTCAATCTCCATCTTGGTCTCTTCTGCAGTCGGTGCCTTTCCACCTAGAACCTCCAGCGCATACTCGAAAAGGATACCGCCGTATCCAAGTGTACGCGCGAACTCTGTGTTCCTAACAACCTCATCCTTCTTCTCACCGACGCAGTACTGGGCGTAGAAAGTCTTCTTGAGCAAGTTAGACAGCACCGGGTTACGCTCGATGCTCAGGAGGAAAGACTTCGAGTCTAGCATGCGCCGTAAGATGCCGAAGCAAGCATTAAGCAGCAGAGGCCGTGATGACACAGCTGTGATGAGGTAGGATCGGAGGACAGTCTCGGTAGGTAGGCGTCCAAGGACTGCTTTTGTCTGCGCTATTTGCGACTCTGGCTGTGTCGACAGGAGATGTGAGGTCGAAACTTGTGATGAGGCGGGGATGGAGACATTCTGTCGTGCGCTCTGGGAGACGTAGCGCGGCGTCTGTGCAAGGGTTCGGGATGTGTGTGCGAGTGCGAGGCTCTGGAAGCGGTGGAGGTTCTGTCTCCGGATCATCATCTTGGAATGTGGATGTAGTCTGGCGCTCAAGTGGTTGTGTGAAAGGTGGTGTAGTTTGCACTCGGAGTTGGTGAATCGGCACGGGGAATATGTTTTCGGATTTTGCAAACTTGAGAGGGCGAGCAATTCTGGAGGTCTTGTGACTTGCTTTTCATTGTGGTGAAGGCCATATATACCATGGTTGGTACTCTTGGTGCTCCACGATATCGCACGCGATGGCTCGGCTTGCGTCGGATGCGGTCATGTCGCACTAGTGCAGCTTCATTGTTGCTCCAGATGGTGCCAGACTGACGCAGACGCCGGCTTATCGCCCGCGCTAGACGGCCCGATGATTGGACAATGCCGCAACGCGTTCCTGTGGAGTAAACGACATGTCTGGCATTCATGGCGATGAGACGGTGTTGAGGTTTGTTGCCGGGTGTGATGTAATGACCTTTGTAGAGTTCGTGAGAGACTCATCGTGCCTGCTTCCCGTGTAAGCCGGTGACGTAGCATCATCAATCTCCCGTCTGCGATCCCTTGCTTTTGCCATGGCTTTGACCTCCAAGCTGCCATCGTGACCTTCGCAATGCCTGTTACCCCACAGTCGGCGAAATGCACAACCAGCCGCTCCTCACACTAGCGTCATCTTGCCAGCACAGCTCCATTCGCGATCTGTGTTGGGTTTGCCGCCCAC